CACATCTGTGCTTTTCCTCTGTATTCTTCCCTCTCCCCCACCTTCCTTCATCAGTTTCCTTAATTCAGATTTGGAGGAAAAGCTACATTGGCTTGGCCAAAAAGTTTTTCTATAACATCTTGTCGATTTTCCGTATTATGGAAAAACCAGAACAAACTTTGTGGCCAATCCTTCTTTCTCTTCTCTACCTGTTTATGATATCATAACTGACCTAATGCACACATAGTTGTCTCAGATGATTACTTAGGAGAGACCAGAACAGTCAAACTGTGACGTCATGATGTGCTGGTTTTCATGTCAGTGTCGAGTCCTGAAATGGCAAGTGGCCTGTGGCCAGAAGTCTTGATGATAGTATTTTCTACTCCTGTAAAGAGCAGTCTGGTTAGGTGATAACTAGGCTTTTATTAAAAATGTTCTGTTTGCCTGATTTCTTCAGTTTCTCGGATGGAAAAAGCTCTCAAGCGTATTAGGTGCTACAGTTTGCCCAAAATAATTGTTGGATGTTCTGGTTGGAATTGAGCAAGACCTGCTGATGTCACTGTGTATTTGTGTCTGCTCCAGATTCACACGTCGAACTCCCGACTCCCATGGTGGTGGTGTTCGGCGGGGGCGGTCTCTGGGAGGTGACTGGTTTAGAAGGTCGGGGGGGGGGGGTGCCCTTCCTCCCTCTGTGCCCACGAACCTGAGGAAAGGCCAGGTGAGGCCGCGATGAGAAGTGGACATCTGCAAACCAGGAACTGAATCTGCGGGCATCTTGATCTTGGGCCTCCCAGTGTCCAGAACTGTGAGAAGTAAATGTTTACTCTTCAAGTTAGGATCGAGGGTGCTTTGTCACGGCAGCCAGGGTAGGCTAAGATGGTTGATTTTTAGTGACATTCATTAAGGACTCGTCACGTCCCAGTGGCCCTGTCATGTGGTTAGGACGTTTGGGTTGGTCCCAGGCTTCCCCCCAGCTTGGCATGGGGAACGGAGGTGAGCAGCCTCCGTGGCCTTGACTTTCTGTGTCCGTTTCAGTAATGCTGGGTCTCCATCATCAGGCCTGATCGGTGGGGACAGGAAGGCTCAGCCAACTGGGATTGAATCTCAGATCTCTTCCTCTCTGTATGACCTGGAGCAAATCATTTCACTGCATCAAGCTCATTAAATATTTTTGCCATGAAATAATTTCAACATAGTAGTGTAAAGAACAATAAAATGAATTCCCATGTAACAGTCACCCAGATTCGAAAGTATCAAGATTTTTATATATTTACTTCATCTCTGGGTTTCCCTGGTGGCTCAGCTGGTAAAGAATCTTCTCACAATGCAGGAGACCTGTGTTTGATCCCTGGGTTGGGAAGATCCCCTGGAGAAGGAACCACTACCAACTCCAGTATTCTGGCCTGGAGAATTCCATGGTCCATGGGGTCGCAAAGAGTCAGACATGACTGAGCAACTTTCACTTTCTTCATCTCTGACTTTTCCTATTTGTTGAATTATTTTAAAGACAAACCCCAGAGGCATCATTCCATTTCACACCTTTACACTTTAGTATACATTGGTAAAAAAAAACGGACATTTTCTAATAGAATCACAATGTTAATGTTATACCCCAATATTAATAATTATTTTTTATAGCATTTAACACCAATCCACAATCAAATTTCCTAGATTGTCCCTGAGTTCATTCTAATTACCTTTCAAAAGGAGATGATAATGCCCAGACCCTCTCTCTAGAGCAGGAACTTTGTGGGAGGGTGTCGCATGCCTGTTTTGGATGGGGAGGCTTTGCAGTTCTGCTGTATTCCCCAGGGCCTCACCTCTGAGGGGCCTAGTATCGGATCTGGCCCAAAGCATGTGCTCAGTGCATGGAATCGTCCTAGTGATACAGGTGTTTCCTAGCGCTTTGTGCTAAGAGCAGTGCTGGCCCCGTGGACTGTGCTGTGGACGTGCAGGCTGCCTGCAGCAGATCTGAGCATGCTCTGTCATTTTCCATCTCTGAGGGTTTCTACATTTCTTCTCCTGGACACGAAGCCTCCTTTTCTGCCCAGCAAACGTGTGTTCATCCTCTGTTGTCAGTCGTGAAGTTTCTCCAGCAGATGTCTCGTGTCTCTGAGGGACCCTGTGTCCTGGAGAAGGCCCCACATTGCAGACACACATGAAGTTATGTGACAGTCCATTTTCCTGGAAGGCAGCCCTGTTCTCCCTGCTGCAGTCGTGTTGCCTTACCGGTGCAGATCACTCCTGGGAGAGTTAGCTGGAAAGCAGCTCATGAGCTGGTTGTGTCCCCGGAGCCCCTGCTCTGCTCCAGAGGCAGGTGCTGCCCGTCTGTCGTCTCTCGAGAGCAATAGGGTTTCCCCTGACGGAGGAGAAGGCAAGTGCATGTGGCTGGAGTCATGGGCACGGCTGGAGAGCAGGGGTCTGTTGAGACCGAGGGAAATAGGTGAACATGTGTTCACCCTTTACCTGGCTTTCACCGCCAGCCTGATATCCCACGTGGGAAATCCTGGCCGGGAGAAGTGCCCAAAAGGAGAGGCTAAGGCCCAGACTGGGGAAGTTCTCAGCCGGAGACCCTGCAATGAGGCCCACAGCTGTCCACGTCCCCACTGTGTCCGTCCTGTTTACTGAAGCCAGCCAGCAGGACAGCTGAGTACCATTCCTCCTTGGGTAACTTTGTAGGGGGCATTGAGCATCACTCACAGATTCATACCTGTCTTCATTTCAGCAGGGCTTACTGGGAGAGCAGGCTCCTCCTAATCAGGTGCCCAGCCTATCAGTGCTCTGCCCAATGTGAGGCAAGTTAGCTCACTAAAGTGCTCTCAGTGGGAGCCCTTTGGGAGATTTTGTTGTTCAGTTGCCAAGTCATGTCCGACTCTTTGTGACCCCGTGCACTGCAGCATGCCATCCCTGTCCTTCAGTCCCTCCCAGAGTTTGCTCAGACTCATGTCCATTGAGTCGGTGATGCCATCCAACTGTCTCATCCTGTTGTCCCCTTCTCCTCCTGCCCTCAGTCTTTCCCAGCATCAAGGTCTTTTCCAGTGAGTTGGCTTTTCGCATCAAGTGGCCAAAGTGTTGGAACTTCCGCATCAGTTCCTCTGGTGAATATTCAGGACTGATTTCCTTTAGGATTGACTGGTTGGATCTCCTTGCAGTCCAAGGGACTCTCAAGAGTCTTCTGCAACACCACAGTTCAAAAGAATCAGTTCTTTGGTGCTCAGCCTTCTTTATGGTCCAGTTCTCACATACGTACATGACTACTGAAAAAACCATAGCTTTGACTATTTGGACTTTTGTCGGTAAAGTGATGTCTCTGCTTTTCAATACGCTGTCTTGGGAGATTTACCGCCTGTAAGTTGAAGATGATTTGATTAAAGAATTTTGTTTGTGCTGCAGATTGGTATTACTGTATTATATCCAGGCTGATTCTGGTTGCTTTCCTGCCTTCCTGCTCCCTAAGGAATGATGCTTAGACACAGAAAGCCCCTTAACCCACTAATACACATGCCTGAGAACTGGGCCGCCCCCGTCTGGCCATTGTTCTGTACAGTCTCCGGTCCGGGAGCCCGTGGCCTCCCTGTGTGCTAGGCCAGCCTCCGGGGCCTGCAGGCCCCATGACGGCGGTGACAGTCTTACCATTCCTCCCCAGACCTCCTTGCGTCCACCAGCCTGTTTTTAATCCGTCACCTCATTTCCCTCTTAGCCATTCTGTAGATGGAAGGACAGGGCTCCCACTCAGGTGGTCACCCCACAGATGGGGAGGAAGCAGACCGTGTCCTGGAACCCGGCCTCACTGCCTGGCCCGAAGCCTCACCCTGGCGCTTTGCTCCCCTGTTCCCCCCGGGTCCTCCACCCTCCCTGCCAGCCGGGAAAGAAGCAGGCCGGGCGTGGACCTCCGATTCCTGCTGCCTTCTCTCTTCTAAACAGTGTGGGAGTGAGGATGCCACAGGCTGAGGGGCAAACACGGGGTTTTTTTTCAAATATAATTTTATTTATGTATTTCTTTACTTTTGGTTCCTCTGAGTCTTTGTTGCTGTGCAAGCTTTCCTCTAGCTGTGGTGGTGGGGGCGGTGTGCAGGCTTCTCTTTGCAGCGGCTTCTCTTGTTGCAGAGCAGGACTCTGGGGCTCGGGGGCTCAGGAGTGGCGGTGCCCAGGCTCAGCTACTCTGAGGCGTGTGGGATCTTCCCAATGCAGAAATCAAACCCGTGTCCCCTGAATTGGCAGGCAGACTCTTTACCACTGAGCCACCAGGGAAGCCCCAAACTTGGGATTTTTGACATGTCCTTTCACTTCATTTGGGCTCAGTTTTCTCATTTGCAAAACGGGCACAGTGATGCCTGCCTTCCCGAATTACCATGGGTTTTCCAGCAGGAAGCACTCTTGAGCTCCGGGGAGTCACAGAGTCTGTGAGCTAGTGTCTAGAGCCGCTTGTGGGTAATGAGCAAACTTTCGCTATTACCTGCATCCTCCCCTCCTCTTCCTAGTGAGAGGCATGGGGGTGAGGTGGAGAAAAGCAGCCTCATCTCACAAAGCTTTACTTTTAAATAAAAATATTGATTTGTAATTATTTGCTTAAATATCTGTTATACAGATGGACTGTGCACTCCTTCGGGACAGGCCCTGGCATTTTGCTTGGTACCTAGTAATTGCTGGAAAAATATTTGTTAAGTAATAAAACGTACCAATTTTCTAGTCCTGCCTGCCCATCGACTTTCTTGAAATTTGATAAGGTTTTATTTCTTGGAAAATGAAATCTCCTAGGAGATGGTAGCTTAGTTTCCTTTTTATCCACAGACCCTTATGTGGAGCAGCCACCGGTGATTTAAAGAAACTAAACAGAGCTTCTGTCTTCCTTTCGTCTCTTGTGGTTGCTGCCCCTTTATTTCTGTCAGAAGATTGGACTCATTGGACTGTCAAGTATTGGGTTAAGAATTTTATTTTTGCTCAAAAAAGAGCAAAAAAAAAATCACCCTCCCCTCCTTTTTCTTCGGTTTAATCAACCTTTATTTTTGTTTTTTCATCAGAAAAAAAGGATGTGACACAGAGCCTGGAGAACTACACCTCCAAGTGTCCCGGGACCATGGAGCTCCTCACCCTCCCAGACGGGCTCGCGCTGCCGCCGGTGCCCTTCACCAAGCTGCCCATCGTCAGGTGGGGCACGCTGGCCGGAGCGCGGGGGGCGGACTCACGCCTGCGCCGGCTTTGTTCTGCTCAGGGATGTAGGTCGGCGGAAGGGTTCCTGTTTGCTGTTGCCTGTGTATTTGGTCCGTCGTCTGATGAAGTCTCAGCTGCCGCCTGTGAAGCGTGTTTCATAGATGAGAGAGTCAGACCAGGGCCATCACGGAACGGCCATCGCCATGTGCCTTTCCACTGGCAGAGCCACTCCAGGCTGTGTCTGCCTGGTTCTGCAGCCAAGCTGTGGCCTCTCTGCATGATGGAGACGAACTGGGCCTCGTGGCGCTTACCCGTGTCTGGGGGGCTGTGCGGCCCTGCACACAGGCCCGGGGGTGCCTCCACTCCCTTGCTTTGCAGGGCTCACGGGACTGTCCGTGGCTGCTCTGTCTCCAGACTGGCTGCGAGCCCGTCCTTATTCCCGCAGACCCCCAGCCCCACACACCCTCATGGAAACACTGAGCAGGCTGATTGTGTGGCCTGCTCCCTGGAGAGACCTTTGTTTTTGCAACCCTTAGGTGCCTTAGGTGCCTTAGGTGTGTGGCAGGTTTCATTCCTTTGCTCAGCTCCGCCTTCTGCTCAAGCAAGGCGGCATTCAGTCATCTTCCAAGATTTAGTTTAAGGATTATCTCTTCTGTAAAACCTTTTCCCTGAGCCCCTCAGATAGAAATAATTACACCTTCTGGATAGTTACCAATTATTTCAGTGGCAAAGAGCAGAAAACCTAGCAGTGGATAGCAAATAAGAGGTTATCTTTTTTTTATTTATTAAGAAGTTGGAAACAGGTGGCTTCTCTGTAATGCTGTCTTTACCTCATGATGACCAAATGGCTGCTGCAGCTCCAGATGACACATCTACATCCAGGATAGGGATAAAGGAAGAAGGGCCAGGGCCAGGGCACCTATCTTTTGTTTACTAGCATAGCAAAAATGATCTTGACAGATTCACAGTGGACTTCTGCCCCAGTCTCCTTGACCAGGAGTGCATCTCCTGGCCACTGCTGGTTGTAAGAGAGGTCGAGGAAATAAGGCTTAACTCTCCCAAGCTCTGTAATGTGTGGGGAAGGGAGAAGGGGACAGAGTGGTGCTGGGTTAGCCAGCCAGGAACATCTTCCATGTCTTTCTTCCATTTCATTTACGGAATGTGATTATACATCTTTGTTCTGTCTGAGAGCCCCCTGGAGAGACGTTTGTTTTTGCAACCCTTAGGTGCCTGTGTGTGCTGAGCGAATGAACAGATCCAGCCATCAGAATTCTTTGTAAGCAATCCTCAGAACATCTGACCCAGATTGTCTTAGGCACAAGGGGGTTTATGGCACATATACCTACAGAATCCAGGAGAGGGATTCGGGCAGGGCTGGAGCCAGGTGTCAGACAGTCTCACCAGCACCTGCCTCTCTCCCCTCTCAGCTCTGCCCTCAGCAGCCAGGCTTTAGTCTCAGGCTCTGGGTAGCATCAGGCTGGCAGCTGCAACTCCCCGTCCTGCAGTGTCTGGGAGAAAAGAAGGTGATGCCTGTGGAAGGAAGATAAAGCTTCCTTTTCCTGGGAGCCTCCACGCCCATAGAGGCTCGTGCTCTCTGGCACTTCTGCTGGGTCATGGACTCAGATCCGAGTCCCTGCTCCCAGTCCCGCACTGGCCATTTCCTGCAAGAGCCCTGCTTTCTTTTGATGGAGTTGAAGTTAAGATCTGGGTGCTGTGTGCATGCCTCACTGTCGGGTTGCTGCTGCTCGCGGTGGACAGAGCTAGGCAACATCTATTTATAGACATACATTATTCACTGCATGTTCATGCCCGTGGTTGTTTCTGCATCTGTTTCTATGTACTGGAAACTGAGTCCATGCTGATACCTATACCTCCAATTCCACCCAGTGCCTTAGGGGTCCTTCTAGTATCTGTAAGTCCTTCTCAGATGGGGGAAACCTGTCTCCCATTCACTTTGGTCTGGATGCTCATTTGGTCAGTTCCCCTGCTGATTACCGTGGCTACCACGTTGCCCTCCCTCCCCACGGGGAGCTCTGCCCCAGCCCCGTGGGCCCCTCCACCCCACTTGGGCAGCTTGGACTGTTGCCCATCTGTGCAGAGGGAGCCAGGAGGTTCTCAGGTATGTCTCCCCTGTAAATAAGGTTGAGGAATTGAGAACCGAGAGAAAAGGTAGGCGGCTTTGTCCCATGCTTTCTTACCAACCTATTTTCTGTCACTTTCCTAATGAGTGTCCCACCTCTGCTTTGCATAATCCTTATTAGCCACAGTATCCTGAGATATCAGCTTTTAAATTGCCAAACGTTTCCAAAAGGAATCCCTAAAAATAATTATTGTTCTGGAAACGTCATCCCTGGAATTCTGCTTTACCGTTGGCAGCTCCATAGACCAAATACAACGTTATTAGTTTCACAGCAATTTATGCTGAATGAGTTATGCTTCCTTTAGGTCAGGTACCTTGCGTGACTTTTTCTGGGTACATTTTATGGGCAGACATTTGATGCTGGACTTTGAGTTACGAACGAATGCCATGGCTGGCTTGTTGGGTTTCTTTTCTGTCTGACCATGCCCTCAGAATCCCTCTGCAGTTTTTAAAAGCCGTTTATGTGGTCTGAGGTGTCTGTGCTTGAGTAGACGATTCCTAGGATGACAGGTGACACCTCGTTTTTAGGTGGTGACAGTGGCACAGAGCAGAAAGCTGTTTGTGTTGCGAGGAAATGGTGTCATTTTACTGATGAGCGAGCACAGAGGCTTGAGTCGCTGCTGCTGGTCCAGAGTTCAGCAGGGCGCTCGCAGCATCACTGGGCCCAGCACTTGGTTTCTCTGCCTCTGCCCGCGGTGTTGCGATCTTTGCGCAGGGACTTGGCTTTCTGTGCCTGTGAACGAGTGCTGTTTTAGGGAGGGAAGGGAAGGGCTTTTGTGCACCTGCCATGTGTCAGGTGCTGACATAGGTGCTTTGTTCTGTTGTTAGGTTGTTCAGTCGTGCCCAGCTCTTTGAAACCCCGTGGACTGTAGCCTGCAGGCTCCTCTGTCTGTGGGATGTCCCAGGCAGGAATACTGGAGTGAGTTGCCATGCATGTCAGCTCAGTTTTCAGAGTGAAGGTTTGAAGGTCTCTGCTTCAGACCACTGCCCTTTCTCTGCTCGAGTTTAGGATCAGCAGAAAGAAACATCTGTCTCAGGTGGATGGTGGAGCCGGTGCCCAGTGTCTCGGGGCTGTCCAGTTTTCCCCAGCCTCTGGCAGAGCCCTGGGGCCGGCCGCATTCTGTCACGGAGAGCCAGACAGAATCCGCGCTCTTGCTCAGCAGGCAGGCCCCAGGAGAAGGGCCTGAGTGCCGCACGTGCTGGTTCTCCTGCCAGACCTGCCGCCTCCTTTAGGAGGGGTGAGGGGAGGACGAGGTCGGGACCCTACCCTCGGCTGCCCCTCCTCCAGGAAACACGGGGCCGGGGAGGGGGCACGTCCACGGGACCTCCTGGACAGCGTCGGCAGGCACTGGTCATCTTTCTGAATGAGAGGCTTGAGGTCCAGGGGTGAAGCGTTCCTTGCTGGTGCCCCCCTGGTGGGTCCTTCACTGCGCTCGGGTCTGCAGCTGTTGCAGGTGCGTCTCCCCCCGGCTGGAGGCATCTCGGCCAGCGTGAGGACTTGCCGCCTCCCCCTAGCACAGTGAGGCCGGGGCCTTTGTGCACAAAGGGCTGGGATTTGCCGCTGTTGGTGATAAACTGCTTAGCCTTGAGGGTACAGCTTTGAAAGATTTGGAAGCTGAGTTGGAAATCCAGCTTTTGGGAGTTTATTCATTCAGCATTCACCAAGAGGTCCGCATTGGTGTGTTGCACCAGCGCTGGACTTGAGACAAATGAGGCCCTGGGTGCCCTGTCCTTGGAAAGCTCACAGCCGAACAAGCAGAAAACTGAGTGATTCTGATTCTGTACAAGAAAAGCATGCTGAGGGGCTTGCAAAGGCAGAGAAAGTGCAGGACAGAGTCCTTTCTTGAAGAGCTGTGGCGGGTGAGCACCGCCTCTGCCTCGGGTCATGGTGGGAACAGGTGAGGATCACACATGTGACCCGGACCTCCCCAGGGCCAGGCTCAGGAGCCGCCAGTGATGGCTGGGTGCAGTGGGGGTGCTCGTGAGGACGGGGTCCCCGTGGAGGCCAGGAGAGCTGAGAAAGGCATGATGTCGTGGATTCTCTGAGGCCGTCTCTAGTTTATAGACACATACACACACACACACACATATATAGAGTCAGCACAGATTAGCCTGTCTGTGGCAGAAACATGGCCCCTAGAATCTCAGACAGATCAGCCCTCAGCACGGCCCAGGCTGACGATGCTTCCCTCACGTGGAGATGTGAGGATGCAGATCGGGCAGGTAGCTTTCCAGGGTGGCTGACCTCCCCGAGGTCACTCGGCAATCTGGGCTTGTCCGTCTGCTCCGTGTACAGCCCCCAGGCCTGCCTTGAGGAGGAGGCGGGGCACCGCTGCGAGCGGCTTTGTCTCCGAGGGACCCGGCTGGCTTCCCCTCCCGACCCTCCAGCCTTACCCCCTGCAGAGGGGCTGTGGGTGGGGAGGGGCTCAGTGCCCCCCAGCCTTCCACCCCACCCTCTGCCCCCACCCTCTGCCCCCACCTTCCTGTCGGTCTCGGTCTCACTCTGGATCCTGAGCCCTGCTTACCCAGCTGCCCCTCCCAAGAGCGGCCACAGGGACCCTGCTGTGTCCTGCTGCCCCGTTTCTGGCTGTGGGGCTTGGTCAGCATGCTTCCTCTCACCTGTGTCAGTCTCCTCGTTGACGACTTGGAGGTGATGGTGATAGCACCGCAGCTTGGGAGGCGGATGAGGTTTAGTGGGGACGGTGCGTGGGCGGCAGTGGGCACAGGCCTGAGGCCCGGCTCCATAGACTGGGCCTTCAGTCCAGGCTGGCTGGTGTCACTAGCTGACATCCACAGCTGGAGAAGCGGTTTAGTGAGGCGCAGACTGTGCAGAGCCGATGGGGCTGCTGCCCTTCACCCGTGGTCCTTCAGATGGTCTGGGTCAGCACCTCTGTTTGCTGCGGGCCTGCCCATCAGGAAGGAGGGGACCAGCTTCTGCAGAGCGGTGGGCATGGTACCCACCGTGCCTCCCCGGATCCTCACAGTGGTTCGTGTTATGGCCCAGGAGCCTGAGCGCAGGGAAGGCGGGCCTGCGGCTGGCGGGTGCCGCTGTCCCGGGGGAGCTCTGTCTGCCCACGGACGTCCTCTCCCCGGCACTGTCTGGGAGGTGGGGGGCAAGTTGTGCTGTCTTCTCTGCCTTGTCATGCAAAGCTGAATGCTTTTCCTTCCCTCAGTTTATCTGCTGTTTGATTTATTGTCTGTATAACACCAGATATTTGGTCCTATTTAGGCTGAAGCCAAGCTAACAAGGCAGTTGAAGTATTTTTGTTCCCTTTGAAACAACAGGCGTGTGAAACTGCTGAACCTTCCCGCCAGCCTCCGGCCACAGAAGATGAAGAGCTTGCTGGGCCAAAGCGTGTCGGCCAAGAGCCCCTTCATCTACTCCCCGATCATCGCCCACAGCCGCGGGGAGGAGCGCAGCAAGAAAATAGGTAGGCCGGGCCGCCGGGCTTCCAGGCCGTGTTCGGCTGCCCGACCCCTGGAGGCTTGTCTGGGCTTGAGATTGTGAGACTTGACGTGGTTCATGTGAGCCTATGGGATATACCCTTACGCAGGTGTATTCCGTTTGCTGACTTAGTCTGACCACTGCCTATAGATCTGCCTTTTTAGTATCTATTTCATAAAAGGGGGTTTTGTGAAAGTTCTAGAAACCAGAAGACCTCTGTTATCCGAGACTTAGGTCAGTTACAGAGGAGAGGTACTTGGAGACCAGGGTGACTTTCCAAGCCTGGAGTGACTTCTGAATCATCCAAGGAGATTAAAGGTCGTCTTTGTTCAGGACTGTCTGGGTGTAAGGGCGTCCCATCACTGTCCCGTTTGAAGGCTGCAGTGCTCATTTTGTGTCTCGCTGACGCTCATCGCCTCTTCTGAGAGGCCTGGTGACTCAGCAGGGCGCCGTGACATTGCATCTTTGGGGTGGCGGGACGGGACCACTCATCGCTGAGGATTCGTCATGGGCTCCTCTGTGCGCTCAGCCCCCCGCCACGTCCCAGCGCACAGCCCCCGCCACGTCCCAGCGCACAGCCCCCCGCCACGTCCCAGCGCACAGCCCCCCGCCACATCCCAGCACACAGCCCCCGCGCGTCCTTCCTCCCCGTGGGCCCCACAGCTCCCCTGTGTCAGCCAGTCCCTCTGCCGTCCCCAGGAGTGGCCGTGCCGCAGGCGTCATTCCTCGCCCGCTGCCCGCCTCAGGCTCTGTGCACTTGGAGACTGTGGTGCGCGGCAGTGACAAAGCTGCGGGCTGAGAGGCGGTCACTGGTTGGCATTGCTGACTCCGTCCCAGAAGTTTCAGTGGAAGACCCGCAAAGCTTCTGCAGCTCAGTGCTGGCTTCTCCTCTGTCTGCCTTTTTCCTCCTTTCAGTTTTACACCCCCGGCGTAAGAGAAGGTGTCCTTGCTTCTCGAGGCCCTTCTCCCCAGGATTTAGCTGTCCGGGGGCACTCACCCACCACCCACACCCAGAGCTGACCCTGCCCGCTGCGCGCTGTCTGCCTCTCCGCTTACCTCCTCCCGCTTTTCCGCCCCTGCTGCCTGGACCCAGCCCACGACCATGTGCTGTTTTTTGAATGTGACCTCTTGTTCCAGTCTCAGGGCTGTACTCTGGGTGAATGACCGACTGCAGCAGTCTCCTGGCTCTTAGGGGAGCAGGGCCCCACCCAGCAGGCACTTGAGATGTGAATGCGCGTCTTTGGCATTCTAGTTTTAGTTTGTGATTCTGAGAGACAGCCCTGGCCTCCCGCCTGCTCCTCTGCTCTGGAGAAGATGCCAGAGAGGCTGGGAGCAGGGGGTGGGTGGACCTTGTGGTTGAGCAGTGGCGGAGCCAGTCCTGGACGTCTCCAGCACACGCCAGCGAGCAGTGCCCATCTGCCAGGGGATGCCTTCTTTGATCTCTTGGAGGTGGGGGGCTTGGGTCCTGTTTGCATCGAAGTCTCAGGGGTCTCTCTATGGTGGGCAGGCCACTTTTCTGGACCCCTTCCCCCAGGTGAACCTGGGCCCATCATTACAGAGTTAACAAGGTTTGTCTCCTGGACCTTGTAGGAGTCTCTGGCTGCTCTTTTTGGGTCTCGTTCAGTTCAGTTCAGTCGCTCAGTTGTGTCCGACTCTTTGTGACCCCATGGACTGCAGTACGCCAGGCTTCCCTGTCCATCACCAACTCCCAGACCGTACTCAAATTCATGTCCATCGAGTCAGTGATGCTATCCAACCATCTAGCCTCTGTTGTCCCCTTCTTCTCCTGCCTTCAGTCTTCCCCAGTATCAGGGTCTTTTCAGATGAGTCAGTTGGCCACACATCAGGTGGCCAAAGTATTGGCATTTCAGCTTTAGTATCAATCCTTCCAATGAATATTCAGAACTGATTTCCTTTAGGACGGACTGGCTGAATCTCCTTGCTGTCCAAGGGACTCTCAAGAGTCTTCTCCAACACCACAGTTCAAAAGCATCAGTTCTTCAGTGCCCGGCTTTCTTTATGGTCCATCTCTCACATCGATACACAACTTCTAGAAAAACCATAGCTTTGACTAGGTGGACCTTTGTTGACAAAGTAATGTCTCTGCTTTTTAATATGCTGTCTAGGTTGCTCATAGCTTTTCTTCCAAGGAGCATGCGTCTTTTAATTTCATGGCTGCAGTCACTATCTGCAGTGATTTTGGAGCCCAAGAAAATAAAGTCTCTCACTGTTTCCACTGTTTCCCCATCTGTTTGCCATGAAGTGATGGGATCGGATGCCATGATCTTAGTTTTCTGAATGTTGAGCTTTAAGACAGACTCTTCACTCTCCTCTTTCACTTTCATCAAGAGGCTCTTCAGTTCCTCTTTGCTTTCTGCCATAAGGGTGGTGCCATCTGTATATCTGAGGTTATTGATGTTGGGTCTCATTAGGGTTGATGGTAAGTTTTCTCCCTAAAGGATGTTTTAGGAAACTTTCACCCATTTTGTGTACTGAAGCTTCTAGAGGTAATCTGGGGGATTGGAGATGTGAGACTCCTTATCAGGACCAGCAGCATGATCTGTGGGGCCTCATGCAGAAGGAAAAGGTGGGGCCCCCTTATTCAAGCATTAGGAAGACTTTGGAGACAGAGAAGGCACTAAACAGAACGTGGATCCCCCTGAGTCAGGTGCCATATGGCTGCCAGGTCCCCACCCTCGAAGCTGGCCTTTCGTCTTCCTTCCTCTCTAATCTTTAGAAACTGCTGAGGCTTCCTTTTGTGAAAAGAGTGCTCTGTACTCGCTGCAGAGGGTTTTCACTTCATCCAGTGATGCTGCAGGTGTTGTGTTTCCAATTTCCTGATGAGAAAATTAAGACTGACCGAATGTAAATTGCTGCCCTAGGTCAGGAAGGAAGCTAAGTGGCAGAGCTCAGGCTTTGTCCATGGTTTATAACTCAAAGCCCAGAGATATTTTCCTTTATCTTTTTTTTTTTTTTTTTTGGCTGCACTATGTGGCTTATGGGATCTCAGTTCCCCGACCAGGCATTTAACCCACACCCCTGGCAGTGGAACTGTGGTGTCCTAACCACTGGACTGCCAGGGAATTCCCAGGGACTTTTTCCCTCGTGACAGTGAGAAGCTCCAGTTCCTCTGAGCTGGGGATAAATTCCATGGATGGTGCATGATTTTTTTCCAGGATGTAACAGAAACTTCAGCCAAAATGCATGTTATTTGTTGGAGACCCATGGGTAGGAAAGCATAACTTATATTCCATGGGTTCTAATATCTTTCTGGCAATAGACTCAGCAGCGAGTACCTGCCTACAGGTTTGAAGAATCCCATGTCTTTAACCCAGAATCCCCATCTCTGTAAATGAATCTGTGTGTAATCGGGGGGAGTTATCACAGCGAGCACACAGTATTAGAGGGGAAGAGACCCTGGGGGCAGCTCCTGGGACCATTTTCTGCACTAATGTGGAGTAATTTATTACCAGTCTCTCCATCTAAACTCCACACGAGGTGATGGCTGCGCACATCCTGAGTGTGAGCACAGAGAGGTGAAGGGTTTTGTGCCAGGACTTGGCGTGGCCGGGCTTCGTGCCGAGGTCGGCAGCCGCCTGGGAGGATGGACAGGCGGGAGCTGTCCCACGGCCTCGGTCAGTCGCCTGGCCTCCCCAGGCTGCAGTTGTGCTGTCTGCGGGGAGGGGGCGCTAGAAGCCCACTGTACAGGCTCCTCAGGGGTTGAGCGAGATGCTGACGCTCCAGCACCCTGGCGCTGTTCACTTAGGGCTCTGAGCTGCGTCGTGTGCGCTGTCCAAGGTGCTGGGGGTGCAGTGAGAAATAAGGAGTGCCCCTGCCAGATGGGTCCAGCCAGCGTAGCAGAAGGAGATGAACTTGTCGACAGAAGCCACCCAAAGATGCTGTTAGTCCACAGCTAAGACCTTCCCAGGGGCCGTGTAGTGCTGGGGGGTGGGGTGGCGCCGAGATAGAGGGGTGTTTAATAGCCTCCACTGCCGGGCCTTTCCGAGGTTTCTGGGACAGACTGTGGAGGAAGGGCCCCACCGTGCCCTCTGGCACGCTCAGACCCGGGAGGGAGATGATCTCTTGTCAGACTTTAGCAACTGTTCCTGTAATAAAGGTTTATCATAGGTTTACCTTTAGTGACTACGACTGTGCGAGTATAAACGATTCCTTGCAGAACCAGGAAAAGGAATTTTAAAATGATGGTTATTTGATTTGACCATGACAGAGAAGACAAACTGCTCCTTCACTATCAAGCAGTGACCTGTTAAAACAAATGAATTTTTCCTCGGCCGTGAGGAAGGGCTGGGTGCTGACTGCTGAGGCAGTGATGTGCTTGGGGTGCTGCTGAAGGTGGGGGGTGGGAGCCCCATGTCCCTGCAGCAGGAGTTCTCAGCCCAAGGCGGGTGAGGAGAGCTGGGTTTCTGGAGCCAGCGGGGGACAGCAGTGTGAGAGCAGGCAAGGCTTTGGGGCCAGGCAGACGGGAGGTGGACTCAGCGGCCTCGTTTGTCAGGGCCGTGAATGATGGACGGTTCAGCCTGTCTGTGTCCTTGTTGGTGAGTGAGGATGATCTGTGTCCTGCTGACCACTGCACCGTGTTGTTGAGACCGCATATGGACACCTGCTTGCGCAAGCATTTTAAAAGCCAGCTCGCCTGGCGGGCTGCTTCACTGCGTGCAGTTTCAGGATGCCACAGGTTTGGTGCAGCTTGTCTTAGTCTGTTTGCAAGGGCCTGGTGCAGTGTTTGGGGGAAATGGTGTCTTTGTTAAAGCCTATATAGCTGAAGAATTCTCGTCAGTAAATCTTAGTGTCTGCTATAGGAGAAGCCTTTTATCCACCACTGTCCATTCTAGACACTTCTCTGAGTTCAGAGGCCTGGCCTGAATCCCTGCCACACCACTTCCTGGCTATGTGGTTCCCAGCGCATTTATTAACCTGCTTGGACCTTGGTCCCTGCCTTGTAACAACAGGATTGTAATACCTCCCTCACCGGGGCATTATGCAGAGGCAGAGACAGCCTTCCAAGGGCTGGACAATGCCTCCTGTCCCGCACCTCGCATGCTTCTCACGTCGCTTCTGAATTGCCCAGTGGAGTGTCTCAAAGGGAGGAGGGGGCAGTGGTGTGGGGGTGGGTACTGTGAACAGAGGACCGCTGACTTGGTGCTTAGAGAACACACATGTGTTTCTCTCACTGTTTCCGTCACGAGTGCAGCCTGTGTTAGCGTGGGCCTCTGCTCAGGGTCTTGCAGGCTGAGATCCAAGTCTCAGCTGGGGCTGTGTTCTCATCGGGAGGCTCTCAGCTCCCTCGGGTTCTTGGTTCCTTGGGGTTGTGGGGCTGAGGTCCCCGTCTGCCTGCCAGGTGTTACCTGGACCACTTTCAGCTCATCACGGCTGCCCTCAGACCCTGGCCTCCTCCACACACCCACTCACGTGTTGAGTTTTCTCACTCAGGGTGAGCAGGCTTCCTTCCAGGGCTCATCTGAGAAGACCAGGCCCTCCTGGGATAATCTCCCTTGGCTTAACTCAAAGCCCACTGCTTTGAGGACTTGGGGGCCCTCATCACATATGAAAGCCTCCTCCCCCTTTGTTACAGAACATAACCGATCCTTGTGTTCACACTCGGGGAAGAGGATTACACAGCATATACACCAGAGTTCGGGGGTCTTGGGGGTCATCTCAGAATTCTGCCCCCTGTACGTGTTGAACTGCAGCTGGCCTGGGAGTGGTCAGGAGGAGGCGCCACCGTCTTCTCTCACGGACTTCAGGAGGGAAAGGGGAACCACGCTCTGTGCCACCTAGAGTTGGCCACAGTGCCGCCTGCCTGAGTGCCAGCCTCTGGGCCGGAGAAGGTCTCTGCGACGAGTGGTGGCTTCCCCCCCGCGACCAGTGCTATTTACTCACTCCAGGTTCGTGAAGCTGCGTTCGGCCCCTAGCGAGAGAAGCACCAGTCACAGGCCATGCAAGTGGCTGTGACAACACGCTTGGCTTTGGAGAAAGCTGGCGTAGCATGGCTTTAAACTGTGTCTCTCGCGATGGTCATAATGGCATTGCTTCATTGGAAAATAGCCAGAGGAGTGATCTGAAGCCACGTGGAACATGCAGAAATACCAGCTAACACATGGATTCCTTTGTGTGTGTATATTTCTAGATTTCCAGTGGGTTCAAGGAGATGTGTGTGAAGTTCAACTGATGGTGTATAACCCAATGCCATTTGAACTCCGAGTTGAAAACATGGTATGTATCATCAGTCATCTGACCCTTTGGGCTAAACATCAGTTTACTATTGATATATGTTTCTTAGTATTTGAGTCATACTTCCTATGACATGACTTCCAGGGCTTCCCTGGTGGCTCAGAGGTTAAAGCGTCTGCCTGCAATGTGGGAGACCTGGGTTTGATCCCTGGAAATGGCAACTTACTCCAGTATTCTTGCCTGGAGAATCCCATGGACAGAGGAGCCTGGCAGGCTACAGTCCATGGGGTCGCAGAGTCAGACATGACTGAGCGGCTTCAGTTTCAGTTTTTTCCTATGGTATACGTCTGTTTTTAAGATTTGTTTTGCCAAAGATTATAATTTTTTTGTGAATGAAGACTACGTCTTGCATTCTCCTGTTTTTAGTGCTTGGTCCTCAGTAAGTTTGTGAACCAATGAACAAAAGACATCTTGGATTTGAACATACCCAGAACTGAGTTGACTGTAATATTTGAAATAATCATGTTGAAATTCAAATAAGATTAGCGAGGTTACAAAGTCTATAGTGTGCCCCCCACTCAAGCTCACTGTTACTTAACTGCTGAAGATGATAAGATGACCGAGGCCTCTTTATTTATAAGAGAATAAATGACTGCAGTGCTCATGCGAAATTTCCCTCGCGTTTGGAATCAGATGTTCAGTTTGTGTTTGTGTACAGTGTTAAATGTTTGCTCTGTGGTGGTGTCTGCTGAAACTCCTCCCCTAGTTCTGCAGTTGGGGGAAGGAGGTTTGTGTGGCTCTCCACCTGGACCTCGTGTTCCCAGAGGAGAGCCCTGCATGCACAGAGTGGATTCCAGTCCCGTGAGTCTTCTCTGTGCTTGTCATTGTGTGGGACCGCTTTGTGACTTCCCAGTGACGTGTGAAGGGTGCTGTTAGCTGGGTGACGCTTTCCTCTGGGGTTTTATGACTCATGTTCCGAGCTTGCCGAGTGCCTAGGCTGCGTGTCAGGCCAGGTCTCTGCCCTGTGGTTAGGGTGCAGGAGGGCCTGTGGGACCCACATGGAGGGTCGGGGAGGCCCCGCTGAGGACAGGGTTAGTGGGAGCCCGCAGGCAGACTGGTAGTTATTTAAGATGATGTTCGGGCCTCTGGTATGAGGCATGGTTTTCCCACGTCCCTTGGAGCTCTTGGAAATTGAACTGAGTATTGAGTGGAGAACCCTGAGGTCCCCGCTATAAGAGAACCACCTATTAGGATGAGCATTCCCTCCTCCTCCTTTTGCACAAGAACATGCCAGCCTCGGGGCTTAGCTCTCGGTTAGGCCTTGTAGTGGCTTCGTCTCCTGGCCTAAGCCCAGGAATAACATTGAGAGTTGTTCAGAGAATTTTCCCTAAAGTGGTTAAAGTATCGTATGCCTACTCTTTCTTACACATTTTTTTTTAGCTTTCACTTTTAACTGGTTAAAAAGGAATACATGCATTTGGGACTTCCCTGGTGGCCCAGTGGTTAAGACTCTGTCTTGCACTGCAGGGGACATAGGTTCAGTCCCTGGTCAGGAAACTAAGATGCCAACTAAGCCCCTTCTCCGCAACTGGAGTCCGTGTGCCACAACTAAGACCTGACGCAGCCAGATAAATAAATAAATTTTAAAAAGTAATATATGCTTTTTGTCAAAAAATGAGGAAGAACAAAGAATAAAATTTACCACTAGGAGACAGCCCACAAATCATGTTCAGAATTAAAGAATTTCTTTACAAAATGTTTCAAGCGTGGGAAACGGCACAGGGAATAGTCAGACCTTGTGTATCCACTGTCACATTTAGCAAGTGCTCATGGTTGGCCATGTTTGCTTTAGCTATTTTAAAAATAAATCAAATGCGAGTGTATTTTGCCTGGAGACAATAGCCACCTAATTGGTTTCTCCGCTTCCATTCTTGGCCACGTCATCTGTTTCACACGTAGCTAGATCATTTCATGCTCTTGCCCAAACTCTGGGCGCAGGTGTGCTCTTTGTCACTAAGGGAGCCTTGCTTCTGGGTGCTTTCTGCAAACAGCGTTAGGAACAGGATGCATGCATGCACACATGGGCACATGCTCACACACGTACCTACCACATGCATCCGCACATGTGTGTACATACATGTACACAAACTCTGGGCTCAGGTGTGCTCTTTGTCACTAAGGGAGCCTTGCTTCTGGGAACTTTGTGCAGACAGCGTGAGGAGCAGTATGCATGCATGCACACATGGCATGTGCTCATACATGTACGCACCACATGCTTCTGCATGTGTGTGTACACACATGTACGTGTGCCCAAGCGCACGCACACACACAGATGCAGACTTCACATATCCCGACCTTGCAGTCATCCCTTCCGGTCTGCTCCACCTCCAGAGGGCTCTCCTTGCCTCCGTCCACATCCATGTCCTTGCCTCCCCTGTGAGAACCTGGCTCGGGGCAACGCCATCGTCCCCTCGCCTGCCCACTCCTGGGATGGACCACGGCACTCCCTCCTTCTTTAATGCCCCTCCGCCATCTTCTGCAGGTTTCAGGGCAGGACTCACGCCACTCGGTGGGCTTACTGCAACATAGTGGGTGTTTTTGATCTCTTGTTAATGGTACTTTAAAAAAAAAATTATTTCTTTATTTGGCTGTGCTATGTCTTAGTTGTGGTATGTGGGATCTAGTTCCTTGACCAGGGATCAAACCTGGGCCCTCTTCACTGGGAGTCTTAGCCACCGGAGGGAAGATCCCTGTTCGTGGTATTTTTACTGTTTTGTCTTCTCATATGCTTGTTGCTAGGCTGTGGAGATACTTTTGCTTTGTAAATGCTGACTTTGTTACCAGGCTAAATGCTGTTGTTAGTTCAAGTTTCCTTGTAGGCGCCACAGGCCTTTCTGCAGCTCTTGTGTGTATAGATAACTGTCTCCATGCTGTTTCTTCTCTTGGCTGTTGTGCTGGCCAGGGCCTCCGTCACAGTGCTGAGGAGGGGGCCCGAGTGTTGGAAGGCCCTGCAGTCACGGGCGGCTCCCAGAGGCCACGCAGCCTGTCTCATCCACCAGGCGTAGGGTGGTAGCCTGTCTCACTCTTAGTGAGAAGAACTCGTGGTTCACAGATGCGCTGGAAGAAGATTAACTGATTCATTTCCATGTGTCATCTTTTTTTTCATTTTGTTTGTAAGCAGAGTATTTCTTCTTTCTGTTTATGTTCCACCTTGGTAAAACAGCAAAGCAGCACACACATTCATACTGTGTCAAGCGGGGCTCGTATTAAAGATGGAGCTGTTGCGCAGCCGCCCGCGGTGCTGCCCGTTTGAGACTGCTTTGTAGCCGCGCTTCTAGGCCGCCTTCCCCGTGGGCCTTTGTCCACGTCACTGAGGAGACCTTGTCTCCTGAGCCCCGGGTGTTCCTGCTGCCTGAGGGGGGCTTGGGTCAGGGTGGGGGTCGCGCTCACCGCGTCCTCTGCCGCCCGCTGCAGGGACTGCTCACGAGCGGAGTGGAGTTCGAGTCTCTCCCCGCGGCGCTCTCCCTCCCGGCCGAATCTGGTCTTTACCCGGTGACGCTTGTTGGGGTCCCGCAGACGACGGGGACGATCACTGTGAACGGTAAGGACAGCTCCTTTCTGGCTGTGGTTCCTGGGCCTCCACGGACGAACTGTGCAGAGGGCGCAGGGCGTGGGGTCGGCTGCTGCGTGCCTGTCTGTCTTTCCTGGACCACAGGTGCGCTCCGAGGTTCTCCTCCTGGGGTTACGGCCCCGCCGCCCTTCCCTCCTCTCCTTCCATCTGCGCTGCTGCCTCGGGCAGTCCGTCTCGTCCACTCTCCCGTCCAGACCCCTCTGCTGGACCTGCCCGTCCTGCCACTCACTCTCCTTGGCTGTCTCCAGGACACATAACAATCAGTGTGTCCCCACGTTGCCCCTGCCCCATGGTCCCATCCCTGGCCGGGCACCAGGCGTCGTCCTGGACTGCTGCTGTCTCCCCCTCACTCCCCTTAGGATACTGCCCATGTGGTCAACACCCTCTGCCCCTCCGCAGCCGCTCTGGTCCCGCAGAGCTCAGCCCTCCCTAGGGTTTGTCACTGGAGCATCAGGACTGGTCTCTCTGCCCTCATTCTTCCCATGCTGCGGCCTCGTGACCTCTCCGCAGTGCAGACCTCTGGGCTGGAAGCGGTCCTGCCTTCACTCCCTCCCCGCCGTGGCTCCGTGTCTCACTCTGGCTGTGTCGCTGGGCCCTGCACGTCCTGGCCGGCGTGGAGGGCTCCCGTCCTGGGCAGGCGCCCTGCTCGCACTGTCCCTCCGCGGTGGGGCCCCCAGGCCCAGCTCAGGTGCCCCTGCGGCGCCCGCCCAGCCTTGCCCTCCCTCTGCCGCGACAGCCCCTCCTTCATGTCACACCTGCCGTGGCCTGCGGGCCTGCTCCTTGCCAGCCACATCTGGCTTTCTTGGCTGGATCCTCACACCTGGCACATAGTAGGTCTTCAGTAGCCATTTGGTGGCTGACAGTCAAGATTGACTGGGAAAGGAGTCTGTTTAAGAGGAGGCTTTGAAGGACCATACTTTATTATTATTATTTTTTAAAATATTTTTTCTTAATACATATAAGGGCCGTACTTTAAAAAGGAGGAAATGTGGATGCCGTGAATTGGAGCTCTTTCAAGCTGAGGGGCTGTATCAGGGCCCCGTTGTCTCCACTGTACCTTTTGCTTCTTGTTGAGTATGTAGAAGTTTAACATGGATGCAGAGACGTTGCTACCCTAGGTACTTACCATCAAGTGTTGTTGATTTTGTTACACTGTGAATGTTGTTTATAATAATCACCTCAGATTTCAAAAGCCATTTACAAGCTTTGCTTAAACAATTTCAAGTGCTTATCTAACCCAAGGAGTGTTTCTTAAATGAAAATTTTGCTAATCTTAAATTACAGTATTTGTATACATTGAGCAGATTTGCCATATCACGTAACAGTTATGATAATAATAATTGACTCTTGAACTCTCATCTCTCAACACGAGAATTTGAATCACTTTCTTTCAAATACTTATTAAGTCCCATTATGTCCTGGAAAGGAGTACAAGCTCTCCTTTTCATTTTAGGGATGGATAAACTTGAGAAGCACATTAGTAAAGGGATGAGATACTGAGTGTGAACTTTGGTGACGTTTATGTTTTGTGCACCATCGGTTGGATGCAGCCCGCCTTGGAGCGGGCTTGCGGGCCCGACTCTCACCTCTGCTCAGGGACACGAGGCTGTGGACTTGAGCTTGGGAGCTGTGGGCCCGCCGGGCCAGGCAGCTGACGCGGGCCCTGAATCTCAACTCAGGTCGGAAGGCACCCTGCGCTCCTGTCACCTGCGGGACCCCCTTGGGCCTAATCTGTGAAGCCCGTCCAGGGGCTGAAACTTGGCCTTTTGTCCCCAGGCTACCACACCACGGTGTTTGGCGTCTTCAGCGACTGTCTGCTGGACAACCTCCCGGGAATCAAGACCAGCGGCTCCACAGTGGAGGTCATCCCTGCACTGCCCCGCCTGCAGATCAGCACGTCTCTGCCCAGGTAGCGCCGCGGCGCCGGGCCTGCTCACTGACCCCAGGGCCCTCAGGAGTCCCAGGAGTGCTGTGAGCCGTGGCCAGGGGCCCGGGAGCCGGAGTTACCCTCTGACCTCACGGCCAGCGCTCTGCTTGTGTCAAACTGGAGTGGAGTTGAGGCGTTTCTTACTAAGATCAGAACAAAATGTGAAATTAGCCTTTGGAAACGTCATTTTTATGAGAAACAGTTGAGGCTTAAGAGAATTTAAGAAGTCTTATCTTCTAAAACAAAAACAGTCCTTTTTTTTTTTTTTCCCTCTAGCATTATAGGGAAGGATAAAGAAGGAAGAGAAATCTCAGAGGGAATGACTTAATGCTCTCTGCCGTTTCCACTGTTTGCTCACGGAACAATATATGTATGTTTAGATCATACTGCGTTTCATTTAGTATCATAGATTTCTCTTTGCATAAATATACAACATAAGCTAAACGCTTTCTGTTTTAATTGCTTAAAAAAGTACATCATGAAGCCATCTCAGAATCACATCCCCATTCATTTCCCTGCTGTTGGGATTTCGGACCATCTCAGTTTTTGCTCATACGGATGATGCTGTATTGTTTGTCCCTTGGGCTGTCTTTCTCAATGTATCTCGGTACTTTCTGAGATGTTTTGAAGGCTCAGTTGCCGATTCAGTGGGCCCCTCCTCAGTGCCAGCCTTGCCCACCTCCCCCGCACCCCCCAGTTGGGGCCTGGCCTGCGGGGCGTGGTCTCCGGGACCGTCCGCTCTGCCTGCTGCCCTGCCTTCTGCTGCCTCCCTCCTCTTCCCCTGCCATGCCAGGGGCTCACACCCACTCTGCTTGTGTCGACTGCGTGTTAGTTTTTCTGAATACCTTCCCTGCAAATCCAGATGGACTATAGTTCTCACTTGAGGAGGACTCTGTGGTGAAATGTGGAGAGAAGTCACTTAGAGTGAGGACTGGAGTCACTTTTCCTTACTTGGCAGAGAAAATTTATTTCTTGACTCACGAACAGCTCTAAAGATATAAAATGCCAAGGAGTTCACGTTGATTCTTGATGCTGTTATTTTTGGAAAACGGGCTTTGGATGTGCTCTTTGACTCCACCTGCCACACGCACCTCCCTCGTTGATGCCTGGTGTTTGTCGCCATTCTGTCTCCAGGGCCTCCTCCCTGTGGTCACAGTGACCCTCTGGCCCAGTAGTGGCTTTGCCACTTGTCCTTGGGAAGGAGACACCAGGGTGATGAGCGCTGTGGGGTGAGGGATGATCAGGAGGACTCAGGCCAGAGTTTCAGACCAGGGCTGCAGTGTTGCATCCTCAGGGCCTCCGGATGCTGGGCTGTGCCCCTCGTGGTCCAGGGTCCGCCAGCTGCCCCGGCTCATGTCAGGCATTTGCCAGCATCTCTCTGGACTTTGCTGGGATGTGGAGGCTGCTGTCTGTACTTTACACTTTTCTTTTCCTCTAGCTCTCATGTTATCATTTCAAATGGTTCATTTGAGTTTTCTCCTTCAGTCTATGGATTTTTCCAGGGCATTTCTGAGATTTAAACATTTTTTGAGCAAGCAGCACACTCAGGGATCATTTGAATTAATTCATTGTTTCACTTTTGCCCTCACCACAATCCAACAATTACTCTTGTGGTTTGCACACACATGAGCCAGTAAGGCCAGTGAGAGCCATCCCGTGACCCAGGGCGTGTCTGTGTGTGGACAGCGCTCAGCGTGTAGCACCTCGCCCTGGAGTTCTGATCGCTGGGCGCCAATTCGACGTTAAAGCCACGGCCCCCTAGTCGTGTGTCTGGAGTGCTTAAGTGTGGTGACGTGCACGACTGTAAAATGCTATCAATTTTTTTCCTGTTTTTCTAAAATTGATTATAATTATTACTCTTATTTTAGGTCCGCACATTCATTACAGCCTTCCTCTGGTGATGAAATATCTACTAACGTGTCCGTCCAGCTTTACAACGGGGAAACCCAGCAGCTTGTTGTGAGACTGGAGAACATTGGGATGGAGCCACTGGAGAAACTGGAAGTCACCTCGAAAATCCTCACCACCAAAGGTAGGGGCTTGTCATAGGTTTGACTGTAGAAATGTTTATCTTTTTTATTTTCAGAAGAGACACTTTATTTATTTATTTAAATATCAAAACCATGTTGCATTGGGGTGTAGCAGATTAACAGTGTTGTAGTTTCAGGTGAATAGCCGAGGGACTCAGCCACACACATATCCGTGTCCATTCTCCCCCAAACTCCCCTCCCATCCAGGCTGGCACTGAACATTGAGCAGAGTTTCCTGTGCTACATACAGTAGGTCTTTGTTGGCTATCCACTTTAAATATAGTAGTGTGTTCATGACCTTCCCAAAGTCCCTAACTATCCCTCCTTCCCACCAGCAGCCTCAAGTTAGTTTTCTAAGTCTGTAAGTCAGAAGAGACCCTTTAGATGACCAGTGTCCCGAAAGTCTAAACACCTCTCCCACTTTTAATTGGACGCCCCTGTGAGGTTGTTATCCTAACTGTGTGTGAAGAACTCGCAGAGGAAGGTAACAGAGCACAGAACACACCTCTGTATCCCCCGTGCTCTTCACACTGATCGGGCCCTCGGCAGGCATGTCCCGGAGTGAGTGAGCAAAGAAGATCACTTGCAGGCTTGGAAGATTACCATCTGGGACCCGTCTGCCCAGCCCAGAGCCTGCTGTGGGTTCACCGCTCAGAGCCTGTGCACCCCCTCTTCCAGTAATGCTGTTCCTAGTTCTCAGGCACATGTAGCTCGGGCTCACAAGACCTGTGTTACATTTTGGATTCACCGTTTGCACACTGTTTATTCTTCACATGCCTCAGCTTCCTCCTGGGTAAGCAGGGAAGGTGGTCCTGACCATGGGAAGCTGTTCTAGGAACTGAGGCCGCAGAGGACCTGGTCAGTGAGCTGAGTAGCAGTGCTGGTTGAAGGGGGGTACGCTATGTAGGAGGAGGGCTGGGCGTCGAGAGTAGTAAGTGGAAATAAGATCAGCTTATCTAATGAAGTTAGAGAAATTGTGCCGTCCGCGGAGACCAAAGACAAGGACAGCACAGGGTGAGCGAGCTGGCGGGACTCCGTGTTCAGCTGCTCTTGACGTAGCAGCCAGGTGAGCCGCTGTCCCCTGGGAGCCTGGGCACACCTGGCCCGTCGGGAGCGGTGCCCCGGCTCTGGTGGCGAGGCTGTCCTCTCTGAGAGCGTCTCCAGGGTCCGATGCCGGGCAGGGGGCCTCAGAACTGCTGTTCCAGAGTCCAGTCACGCTGTCATCATGGGGGTGTGGCGGCTGCCCCATGGCCCCTCTGCTTCAGAGCCTTGCCATCGTTTTATCTGCGGTGGTGGTGGGGGGTGGGGGCTTAATCTGTGTTTCCCCGACAGCAATGCTGAGCGCCTCTGCTGTGGCCGTCCTCCGAGAGTCTGCCCTCGTACCGGCCCTCCGTCCTCCTTTCCCAGTGGGTGTTCTGCCTTCTCTGTCTCTGTGTCTGTCTGCCTCCTCTCTCCTGGCTCGCAGGCTGTCTCTGATCCTGAGTGTGAATTCTGAGCTGGAAACATACAGCGTGAGCACTGGCTCCTGCCCGTGGCTGCCGTTCCCTTTCTGCCGCAGCGCGGCTGTCCTAGTCCCTCTCTCGCTTTTGTGTCTCGGACTCTTGGGGGAATTTTGATGATCCTACCTTAATCTCATCCTTTCTTCCCTTTCCCCGCTCTTTTCAGGAGCAAGTACTTATGGATTAGGTAGAAAATGCCTCCCTGACATGAAATACCTTCATCTGGTATTCTGAATTTAATTAATTGGTTACAGGAGTTGGTGGATATTTGAACAAGTGAGCTAATATTGAATGACAGAAAATTGCAGAGTATATAGTGGTAAAAATGTTCACATCTCCTGTAATTTTCCTTGGCTTCACAGCTTAGCCACTGGAAGATATCTTCCTTTTCTCAAATAAATCTGAACAGTCACCACGTGTCCATCGCTCATTGCAACCTGCTTCTCTTTGAAGCTCAGCTTCTCTCGTTCCTCCTCTGGGAAGCCCGATGGCCTTGGCTGCCCAGGCCCCACATCGCCTCCCTCTGCCCCAGGCTTCAGCTTTTGTCACTTCTTTCCTTAAACTCTTGTCACGTTCGTTGTCGGGAGCTAGTTTCAGGTTCTTGAATGTTGGTGCTGTCTGTGAACTTGAGGATAAACCCTCCTGTGCCTGGAAGCCGACCGGCTCACTTCTGTTCCCGCCTTCGCCTCTCTCCACGGGGTGACTGGGGTCCCCTTGTCTTAGAGTCTCCGGGAGACTTCTGAGGAGCCCTTTCGCTCCATGGTATTGCCGCTGGTGCGCTGGTCTCCCTCCAGCTGGGTGTGGGTGTCTCACAGACAGCCAGTGTGTTTCCCCTTTAGTTCCAGGCCGGGTTCATGGGCGGTGCTGAGGCCTAGGGGCTGTCCATGGACAGGGACACGGTTGCGCAGTCGTGTCCGGCTCTGTGCGACCCCACGGACTGTAGCCCGCCAGGCTCCTCTGTCCATGGGATTCTCCAGGCAGGAATGCCGGAGTGGGTTGCCATTTCCTCCTCCAGGGGATCTTCCCCACCCAGGGCTCCAACCCGCGTATTCTGCTTTGGCAGGTGGATTCTTTACCCGCTGAACCACTGGGGAAGCCCCGTCTAGAAGAAAAAAGCATTCTCCCCACAGTGGGTGTAGGGGGGACCCGTGCTCAGCTGGCCGGCTGTGTCCGAGAGGGGTTTCTCCTTTCCAGGGTGGGTCTTGACGGGACCGAGCCAGTCTCGCTTGTCGGGTGGGGGGGGTCACCAGGGTGGAAGCGCGGGAATCGCCGTGAGGCCCCTCGGGAGCCATGGGCCCCCTTTGGAGCCCAGCTCCGCCCTTCCGTGCGCTCCTGCCTGCGCAGTCCTCTCACACCGCCTCCCGGAAGGGCCGTCAGCAGCTCAGTCATCTCAATGCTGCCTTCCCAGGGCCCCGCTTTAGGCGTGGCACCGCCTCAGTGTTCCTATGCTTCCCAGCCCTTCCGGAGTTTCCTCTCTGTGTCAGCCATCCCCTCCCTCTGCACCCTGCATACAGAGAAGTGACGAGATTCTTACAGTGAACACTGCAAACCCACCGTCTAGGTTCTGTAACGCTTGACTGTATTTGATTTATCACGTCTGTCCAGCTTCCTGTCCATCCACTGATCTGTATTGTTCAAAATAAGTTGCAGATTACTGTGATTTTACCTACTGATCCTTTAGCGTGCATGTCATTAGGGTTCAGTGTTTGAACTCAGCTGAGTGGCATTAATACTTCAGGTAGTTTTTTTCTCATTAAATAATCATGACACTGATAAGAGGTCTTTTTTGGGGTTGGATGCTGGCCTCCCAGGGGTCCCGACTTTCCTTTGCAAAAAAGTATTTGGGGTGAAACACACAAATCTTACATCACCATTTGCTAAATTCTGACAAATACACATCTCCCCAAGCTCTTGTCAAGGTACATCATGGACCATTGTCATCACCCCAGAAAGGCCTCTCCTGGCCCCTTCCTTTCCCTGCCCAAGCCCCAGGGCAGGTACTTACCTGGGCAACCCCCGGCCGGTGCTCACTGACAGAGATGCCGGAGGACGGGGATGCCCGGGAGACCCGGGCAGAACCGGGAAGGCTCCTCCAGTGCTGGGTCCACCTGACACTGTCAGCATCACCTCTGGCCCAGCTCTCAGTTCAGTCTCTTGGAGGGCAGGGGGGCAAGAACTACGACCCTCACACTGTGGATGGGGAGGGAGTCTGAATCACACAGCTGGTTCTATCCTGTGTATTGCCAGATGGCAGAGTCTGGATCACACAGCTGGTTCTGTCCTGGAGTCTGGATCACACAGCTGGTTCCATCTTGTGTATTGCCGGATGGCCATTCGAACCAACACGTTTGCAATTGAGAAATGTCAGCTGTTGTTCTTTTTTAATTCTCGTCATAAGCTGCCATACATTTACACGTGGAATTAAACGAATGAAAATAAACCATCTGCTTCCAAGATACACAGAGGGAATAACTCCTGTCCCTACATTCTCTGGCACCAACAGGCCGTCAGTGCCAGTGAGTGACGTCACGTCAAAGTGAGGACAGGAAAGTGTCCTAAACCGGAACCTGAGCGCGCTCCCTGGGAAACGCCTCCGCAGGGAGTCAGACGCTCCCTCTCCCAGTTCCTTGCTAGGTCTCAACAGCAGTAGTAACTGTCACTGTTTAGCACTGATTGCGTGCCAGCTGAGTGGTATTAAATCTTAGGTAGGTTTTTTTTTCTCTCTCATTAAATAATCACGACTCTCGTAAGAGGTCTTTTTTGGGGTAGGATGCTGGCCTCCCAGGGGTCCCAACTGTCATCTGGATGCTCGTGGGGCTTGTGTGTCCCCCAGTCACACACTCCTGACACGGGGCTGATCATTGACCCTCCATCCCAGCACGACAAGGATTACTGCCCACATCATGTCTGATTGTAACTGCAGTCTGTTTGTGAGCAGGTCTTTATTTGTGGGTGATTAAAGAGGCAAGCTTCTGCCTTGACTTAAGCAATCATAAATTTCATTATAATTAAACCCAAGTTAAGAATGTGTTATATTTGCTTTTTTGCAGATATCCTGAGATTCGTGTGAGCGTGTGTACAAACATAGATATACACGTACCTGTGTATATAAATACACATACTTTTCTTTACTCTTCGAGTTTAACTTTTTGATGAAAAGCAGTGACTCTACGTTGGTGTGCTGAGCAGCTCATGGGCGTTTTGACCGAGGGGCATCCCTGCTGCTCCCTCGTCTTATGAGTGTAGGGGCCGAGCCTCTGCAATTAGAAGCACCTATGAAAGGTCCTCAGACGTGGGAGCTCAGCACAGTAACGGTTCTTCTGTTACTGTCAGTGTCAACCCAGTTCACTTGACTGCACAGAGCTGAGCTCTAGCATTAAAATAATGACTTATTTCTGAAACTGCTTAAATTCCACAGGGGAGAACATTAGTGACACGTGCTCCACTGTTGATTTATGTTTATCTCCTTTCTGCTGACAGCTTATTGTTGTGTAGGGTTTTGAAAAGCCCTCCTGGACAATTCCGTTTTGTAGTCCAGCAACGAAGGGAAGAACCAGAAAGGCCCACCTTTGAGGCGTAAAAGTGCATCAGACCCGACAGGGAAGCAGCTCGGCTTTGTGTCCTGCTGCAGCTAGGGGTCTGGTGTGTGCGCCGTGACCCCCTCTGTGTCGTTACTGAGCTGTAAACACCTTGTTGGTTTGGCTGCAGAAGGTGAATAAGCCATTCCTTGTGAGTAGACCGGCGTGTTATCTGAACATGTCACTCTTAGGATGTGGGATTTAATGCAGAAACTGGCAGCTCAGTCGGCACCCTTCGTGAGGGCACCCTCAGCTTGCAGGCAGTGGGGGGCTGAGGGTGTGTCAGGGCCTCAGCATCTTGGCCGGTATTGGCATTTCAGAGAGAGGTTGGCCCGCTTTGCTGTGGCCGGTGGAGAGGCTGTAGTCCTGGGGCCTGGGGTCTGGCTTGCAGCACCCGGGGCCCGGAGGGTTGTCCGCGCTGGCTCCAGCTCGCCTGGGGTCTCTTACACCCTTCCATCTCGAATTAATCTACGAGATAGAAAAGTAAAGACATGACTGCCTTAGCCTGGTTGACACGTCCTGTAGACTATGCGTGACTGAGTCATGGAGAGGACCTCGCTCCTACTAGTGCTTTGGGGAGCACCCGCATTGTGGAGTCAGGTGCTGGCCAAAATCCCAGAGAGGAATGCATTCTAGCAGGCGGCTAGAGTTTCAGGACGGGGGGTCAGGTCAGTTTGTAAAACTTAATCAGTGTTTTCCAGAATAGGCTACATGCTCAAAAGTAAAACAGCTGCTGGCAAACGTATAGACTCTGTGTGTTCTGTACGTTATTCTGCAAGAGGAGGGTGCTCCTGAGAACAGTGTACTGCTCTTGTCCGGGGCGGTGCTCGCAGACGCAGGCCATGGCCTTGCAGCAGCCATGATTCGAGAATTTTCCGGCACTTTGATCTGTCACATTTTACAGGGTTTGCATCTTTCCTTGTTGTTGAAGATGCACTTGGATTTTCTCAGGGGATTGCTGGGTCTCATGGTGCCTTTGTGACATGAGGCTCATCACCTTTGTTGCTGTCATTGTAGAAAAGCTGTATGGTGACTTCTTGAGCTGGAAACTGGAAGATACCCTTGCCCAGTTCCCTTTGCAACCTGGAAAGGTGGCCACCTTCACCATCAGCATCAAAGTGAAGCTGGACTTCTCCTGCCAGGAGAATCTCCTCCAAGACCTCAGCGATGGTAAGCTCTCCCCTATCCTGATTGGCACGTGGCGGTCCCCGGACGCATGGCCGCGATCACCGTCCCCCCAGCCCTGCTGTTCTGTGTCTGTCTCCTGCTTGTCGTGCATTAACTCGAGCAGCGTGAGCCTTCTCCCGGGCACGCACTTAGTGAGTGAGTTACCGTGGACGTGGCAAGTAATAAAAGTACTTCTTAGTTAAATGGTTTCTTAATTTGCACTTTCTGCCATTTGGGGCTCATTTGCCAGGAGGTCATCGTGAATTAGTGGAATGTAGGAATCACTGTGTTTTTTTTCCCCAAGTATAACTGCTGTGATCCCTTAGACATCTAATTAGCTGTGATTATAAAGTTCTCCTTCAAAGTCTGGTGATTTCTATAAAGAGATGGAGTGTGGAGAAAATGGAGCTTATTTTTGTCATAACGTGAGGACTAGCTGATTAGGGGTGAGACTTGGTAGATTAATTGTGTCAGTTTATGAAGCATGGAGTCATCACGGGGTGTATTTGCTCAGGCTGTCAGAGCGTGCCACAGCCAGCGTGGCTGCCTCACGCACTTGTTTCCTCGCAGGTCTGGGGGTCCGGGGGTCTGGGGTCCAGGTGCCTGCGTGGCTATGTTCTGTGAGCGCCTCCTTCCTGGCTTGCAGACGATGCCTCCTCAGCGTGTCCTTCCTCGGCAGAGAGCGAGCGAGCCCGGTGTCTCTTCCCTTGCTTACAGGGACGCCAGTTTTCTCAGACTAAGGCCCCACTCATGGCTCATTCAACTTTCATCACCTCCTCAGGCCCAGCTTCAATTTTAGTCACACCAGAGGTTGGGGCTTCAACATGTGGATTTTGGGGCCACTGCCAGCCCAAGGGTGTTGTTGGAGACAGTCAGTGGATCCCATTGCTAGAACTTAGTAACTATGTGACTTTGACTTCTCTCTGCCTTGGTCTCCTAACTTATGACAGCAATACCCATTTGCAATGTTGCTCTGAGGACGTGCCCTTCACCTAGAGCGTGTAACGGGTCGACAGATGTTAGTTATATTATACCCCCTCTCCCCACTTACAGATTTACAGTATTACAGGACATGTATTACAAGACACCTCTTGTTAGAGGCAAGCACGCCACTGGGCTCTTGGAAAGCAGAGATGAATGAGTGATGGCCTGCCCCCTGGACAGCAGAAACAACGGCCACCTGATGGAAAGAGCCAACTCGCTGGAAAAAGACCCCCATGCTGGGAGAGATTGAGGGCAGGAGGCGAAGGGGGCAGCAGAGCTGAGATGGTTGCATGGCATCACTGATTCAGTGGACATGCGTTTGAGCAAGCTCTGGGAGATAGTGAGGGATGGGGGAGCCTGGCATGCTGCAGTCCGTGGGGTTCCCAGAGTCAGACACGACTGAGCGACTGACCAACAGCACAGCAAGTCCATGACACACTTCATGAAGTGTTCTTTCCCGTGTTCTCTGCAGTACACCTATTAAAATTTTAAAATGTGAATGAAGTCTGAAAAATAAGTTTACTGTTGGACATACAAAAATCAGAAAATACCATGTAGATTTAACGATACACGAGGACTTAAAAATGTCACGTGCAATGGATGTTTTCTCTCTGTAAATGACTTTATGCCCCTGGACTGTATCTTTCTATAAGTAGACAGAGACTTCTTTTCCCCAAGAAGGGAGTTTGGCAGAGTCAGTGGTGCCCGACACCTGTCCTGGGAAGGCTTGATGAGTTGTCATCCCCAGGAGCATGTCCAGCAACCAGATGTCCAGCTGAGGCCCTTGGCCGTGAGAGCAGAGGGAGCGGACGGTGCCTGGTGCTGCCGCTCGTGTGGGATGGGGTGCTCTGGGACTGAGAGAGCACAGACCCTTCGGGTGAAAACCAAAGCTACTTCTGTTTTGGTGGCTGTTTATGTGTTCAGCATGGACACATCTTCTTATGTTTCTGCCTTTAGCTACAGAGTTCTGGAGGACTGCCTCTGCCCTCCTAAGCTGAAAGTAAAGTTGCAACTTGGGATTTATAGTCTGGAATTACCTTCTTCTCGCTTTTAAAATAAACCAAATGGAAGAGAACTAGAGTTAGGATTACCAGCTGGTCTATAAGTGTAAGGCTGTCCTAGTTTCCAGTCGGTTAGATACGGCATAGGTGAGCAGTGGAGCCTGGTTGTCATTAATGAGATGCCCTCTTTATTTATTTTTGTACTGATGTGTGTTTATTTCTGTGATTCAGCATCATGGTTTATGGCATTTATATTAATAGTAGAACAGGATTAGAATATAGTTTTTATTGTGTGTTAAAGTAATCTACTTTTACACAAATTTGCGTTAATGTATCTAGTGGTCTGGCAAATACAGTATTTGAAGTGAGATGCCTTCTCCATGGTCTCCCCAGGTGGCACAGTGATAAAGAATCTGCCTACTGATGCAGGAGATGTGGGTTCAGTCCCTGGGTCAGGAAGATCCCCTGGAGGAGGAAATGGCAACCCACTCCAGTGCTCTTGCCTAGAGAGTCCCTTGGGCAGAGGAGCCTGGGAGATGCCCCATGGGGCGTGCTTGGTCTGGCAGTTTCAGAACCTCTAGCTGGGGTTCTGGATTGGCATTTCAGGCAGGCTGTCACATTAGCTATGGTTTCTGAAACTAGCTGCCATTTCATCAACTTGCAGAGGGACTTCCCTGCTGTCCAGTGGCTGAGTCTCCAAGCTCCCAATGCAGGAGACCCAGGTTTGATCCCTGGTCAGAGAACTAGATCCCACATGCTGCAAAACGAGAGATGCTGCATGCTGCAACTAAGACCTGGAGCAGCCAAATAAAGGAATATTTTAAAAACAACCAAAACTCGCATCAATAAATGTAGCTGCCATGCAGAGCAGGACATTGGACCCAGCGTGGGCTGTAGACACGTGGAAGAGAATTAATATTTGTTGAGCAGTCAGATATGGTGTATCAGATCTGGACCAGCCACTTTATTTGCATTATTTCTATTTAGTCTTCTCGACACTTCTGTAAAGTAGATGATTCCATTCTGTTTAAAAAAAAAAAAAGCAAGTGGGAGGACTGTTCTCCATTAGAGGAGGTGGGAGAGATCTAACACTCTGATGCTCTCTATGTGCAATCCTTAATCGTGTCCTGGATTAAAAAGAGACTCGAAGACGTTTCTGGGCCTCAGGATTTTGGCTGGGGTGAGAGAGCAGCCCTCATCTTGGCACTTGTTCTGCGCAGCGAGAAAGCATGGCACCCCCTGCCCCCCCGCCTCGACAACGCCCCTCCACGGAGGAGGCCTGGCTGCCTCGGTCTCTCTGGGCACTGAGCTGCTGCTTTCAGGGAGGGTGAGCTGGGCAGAGTTAATGCATCCAATCTCGGTGTGCACTGCGGCTTCTCTGCTGGGCTCCTGGGCGTCTCAATTAGTGTCCTCTGGGGAGAAGACAGCAGAAAACTCTTATTCTGCCAGGAGGGTGATACCACTCTCTTCAAGAGCAAGTTTAAACTGTCTTCATTGATTTCTGTGGTGGACATAGGGTTGATCCTGATATTCTGAAACTGTGTGTTAATATAGAATCAAGTTAACGATCCGTTCTGTGATAATCTAATTCTAGCACCTGACTCTGCTGCTGAACGAGGATTCTCACGTGGAAGAGGTAACTGATGTAAAATGACAGAGATGAAGTAAAAACCTGTAGTCTAGAATTTAAATAAAAGATAGCAGGAAGAAATTATGGGATATGTAAAGATCCATCTATCTGCCATGTCTACTTCAAGGCCTAGACACCCAGCAGCTTGGCCACAGTGGGCCTCCTGACGCCCGCATCCCGGTGTTGAGAGAAGCAGGGCTTCCTGGAGAAGTGGCCACTTCCAGGTCTGGGGCAGGAAGTGTCTGTATTGAGGTGGTCTGGGAACGTCCCCTGGAGCCTGCAGCAGGGAAGCTGTCAGAGCGAAGGTGCTAAAGAGGACCCAAACTGAAGAGGCTGCAGCTGGCAGTCCGAGCCCCAGCGGGCTGATGCTTGCGCTTCAGTCAGGGCTTCTGAGTGCTTCCGGAGAGGGCTCCCCGCCTCAGAGAGTGATGGGGAGAGCGATGTCATGCTGAAAGTGGCAGGTAATGAGCACACATTCCACCTCTCCGTTCAAACACACGGTTGGACGACCTGAGAGTTGCTGATGGCAGTCTCTCTTCACAGAAGCATTCCAGTCAGCGCTTGAGAAGGGCGGGTAGAATTAGAAGCCCGCCACTTTGCAGTTCCTAACAGATTACGGGTCGAGACCATGAGCATCCTCATGGCAAAATAAGAGACAGGCAGGCGTTACGCTCCTCCTGGTGGGAGGACACACGCCGCCCGTGAGTCCGTGTTGCGCCCACACCACACCCGAGACTGACGCACACTCCAGAAAACCCGTGAGGCTCCTCCGGTTCAGACCACGGTCAGCTCTGCGAGCAACCTGGTTCTGTCAGCGAGTATGTGAGAAGAGAGAAGGGGAGGCAGTCCCGGAGACGGTGGGGACACAGCTGTCGGCAGGTCGTTCTGAGCCGGCGTCCGTCCCTCCTCCGGCTGCCCGCCGAGCCCCACGCTCGTGTCCGCCTCGCGGCCCGCGCGTCCCCATGGCACCTCTGGATGCTGTCACGGCTTCTCCCACACGGTCCCTTCACGGCTCTCCTCTCCCAGCGCCCCGCGTAGGGCTCACCTCAGAAGAGATCCCAGAAACGGCTTCGCTGAGGAGCTGAAAGGCATGTTGTGGAGTGAGACGGCGCGGGCCTGACCCTGCGTTCAGGGTGGGGAGTGTGGCCTGACTGCAGGGTGAGCCGGGTGGGGCTGGAGGCGGCGGGGCTGGGGCTCAGGAGAAGGAGGGGCGTTAGGTTGGGATGGTAGGTTCGGGTAGCTGTGGAAGGCCTGAAACTCAGGGAAGTAGCTCAGACTCTTATTGGAGAGTCCCTGAAAGTCCTCTGAGAAGAGGCTGGTGTGATGGAGACCGGGAAGAAGGTGCGTGGGCGGCCTGGTGCGGCAGGTGACGGGGATGAGGGCTCGGG